GACATTATATTCGGTTTGCCACATTTTAAAGCATTGTGTCGCACTCTATGACAGTGTGTCACAACGCGTCGCAGTTTATTACATTCCATTCCGGTACATTATTATAGACAAGAGCGGTTTGTTACGTCATAACATAGTAGAATACATAAATCGCTTCCCCCTTTCATTAAACGCCCCTCGAATAATAAAAGCCTATTGGGGCGAATCCTCCCGAAATCATCCTTGCCCTTTAAACTATCTTGAATTAAGTGGGAGGGTTTCGAGGCTTCAGAACAAGAGCAGGAGCAAGAGCAACAGCGGGCGCAATAGCAAGAGCAGCAGCAACTGCAAAACAGGAGCAAGAGCAGGAGCAAAAGCAGAAGCAGCAGCAAGAGCAGGAGCAGGCGCAAGAAACGCAGCAGAAGCAGGAGCAAAAGCCAGCACGGGAGCAAGAGCCAAANNGGGGGGGGGGGGGGGGGGGGCGCCCCACCGTTTAATATTCGGGGAAAGAGTACATTACCGTGTGTTTCGTTATATACGGTGCATTAACTTTTGTGACACTATGCAAAAAATGACATTGCATTAACGTTGACTATGTTATGGTATTGCATGTATAGCACCGAATATGGTGTAATTTAACGGGTTGAATTATGTATGTGTGTGGAGCTTATAAGATAATCCAGTACGGCGCAGTATAGCACAGTAATGTCAAATACGGTATAGTATATTTGTTGCACCTATACTATGTATATATATATANNTATATTTATATATATGTATGTATGTATGTACGTATACTTACATCCTTATCTATAGCATTGCCATATGATACTTAAAGTATTGTTAGTATAGTATTGTTCTAAGATATTTACAATATATGTTTATAGTAGAAAAAATATCGTATAATTGTAAATCTTCATAAATATCGCTATGATGTAGTACAACATAGTATAGTGTAGTATACAGCATGGTTAGGTATAATCCAGTAAAATGTAGCACAAGACAGTATAAGAGAGTATAGTACAGGAGAGTGAGGAGAGTGTAGCACAGCACAGCATAATCTAGTACGGTGTAGTATAGTGTACTATAGGGTAATGTAGATATCACATAGTCCAGTATGTTACAATAAAGTTCGGTCCCGTTTACCTTGAAAAGAGAACTAGAAGCATAACTAGTAATGCCGATAGCAGTGGTACAAATAAAAACAGGTAAAGGTGGTGGCAAAGGCACAAGCGAAGGCACATGTAATGGTAGTAGTTCTTGGCAGAAGTAACAGTAATAGCAAGAGCAATCGGGATAGGAATAGTAATGGTAATAGGACGTGCAACAAACCGAACCGGAAAAACTTGCCATGCTTGCATACCACCAAAACAGATTTGGTGAGCCCAAAAAGGCCGGGCAAACGTTTCGCCCAAAAAGGCTGGGCAAACGTTTCTTTAATGGGCCCCCAACACTACTCAGAAACACGAAGCCTTAAAAGGAACCCTTAAAGATTGTAGAGATTCCCGTTTAGCCTCCTTGAGGTGACGCGAGGGCGCGCTGGCAGTCCAAGGCCCGTGTCCCCTGGCATCCCTGGTACCCTCAGTCGGAAGGGGCTCTGCTCTCCGAGAGCCGCTGGCCGGGGAAATGGTAAATTAATTTGAAAGATCAACATGTAGGGCTTTGGAGTCTGTAAATCCTGGTACGAAGATGGTATGATTAGTTCGGCTAAGATGGTGGTGACGTTGGGTCAAGTAGGGTTCGTTCATGAAGCTCAATGCATTCTTCCTCCTACGATTCTTGCAAAAGTGATGTTAAGTGCGAATAATCGTCCATGCTTTTGCTCTCATTATTCTTACGTCTGTTACATTATCAAGTTATTTGCCGGACATACGAGTCTGGTTTTTGGGTTTATTTCGGGGTCCGGGGCCGTCGTGCAGTTTTGGTGGTTAGGTAGAGCCGCGGCAATTTGAAGAGTCAGTGGAGATGTTCCGAAGCAGTAGTAGGCTTTGTTCGTTTTCCTTCACGACGTCTTGTTTTGCCTACCTGTCTTGCTTGTGGTTTTAGCTATGTTTGGATACCTGCATGTCGGATAGAATGCCTGTGGCTTACTTGGCAACCCCAGGCTCGGAGTATTATGACAGGTGGCCTTCTACGTAAAGAGCACAGGAGCCTGAATGGCAGGTGCATTCTTGCCGGAGAATCATGGTATAGATACAGTAGAACTCAGAATATACCGAACTCCTGTTCCGGCTATCTCGACCCGTTCTGGACAGGGTTTCCAGCCTCAAAGCCGAGGACGACAAAAGCACTTTCCTGCTCGAGAACCCGGACTACAGCGGCATCAAACGGGGAAAGCTCAGGGTGGCCACTGCGCCAGCCACAGGAGGTGGCTCCAACATGGCTTCGGAATTCAAACGATTTCTGTCGACCTCTTCGGAATCCGAATTATGTTCAAGGGTTTGCGATGCGAAGCCAAGCAACCAAGGAACCACGTCTTGTTTAAAATGTCGATGAGGGAAGATATTGGCTGGTTGCTGATGGAGGACTTGGCTGCCAGAGTTAGAAGCCCCACAGGAGTCAGCGCAGCTCTTCAGTGGCGTGGGTGAGACGCGTTCAGCGGACTGTTGGTATACGAGCTGTTGCCAATGGTACCATGTATCGTCTTCACTGGATTGTTATCTTGATACTAGGACGTAGATGTCCATTCTTACGCATATCATGTTGCGCAGATAATGCCTCGCCATGATCTTCCGCCAGCCAGTCTGCAGTCCTCAGATCAAAAGGCAAGTACGAGCCACCCAGGCACCGAAATCCAACCCCATCCCATTACGGTTTCATGGGGGATGGTGTAGAATGTTGGGTTGAGTCTTTATAAGAGTTTAGGGTATAGGATGCGAGTATTGGGCTGCCGTTGAACTGGGTTTTGGACGAGCACATAGCCCTACGACGCCCCAACCCCGAACCCGTGAGCCTCCAAGACAAATCGCGGAAGCTTCGTGAGCCAAAACTTACAGGCAAGCCGGAGGCTTTCCTGCCATGTGCCTAAGGGCATGCCGGGTTCTGGAGTGAGGAGTCTCAAGACTTTCCACTTTGGGCCTGCTTGGTACCCAAGCCTTGGCAGCGTTCCTTTCAAGTGAGTCTTCTTCGAGTAGAACCCAGGAGAAAGCATCCGATTGTCGGCTACCCGACTGGTGTGCGTTAGCACTCTTCATCGCACAGCAAAAGTTTCCGCTTGGGTACTTCAGAACCCAGTAGCCCCGTCTAAGGGCGTGGAAGCATTTAGGGTTTGGCATGGCTGATGCAGTACGCCAGGATTCAGTGTCAAGAAAGATATCAACCCGCATGAGCCCCTTGCTATAGTCCCTGACTTGACCCGGAAACGTGGGGTAAAGCACCTCAGCTGAAACAGGGCAGGAGTCCATACTGCGCCCCTCTAAGTGAACTTCGAGGTCTTCAGCAGAGGTCTAGCGGCCTTCTGCCGTTTGTCCTGGTGCTGCTGGGCTCTTCAGCCCCCACGGGGTTTTATCCGGTTTTCTACAAGAAGCCCGATGGCTCGATGCTTTTCATTCTAAAACTTTGGTACATGCATGCATCTTCAATAAGTCTCGTGTTACCTGGCCGAAGTTGACAGCCGATCCAGTAACGACGCTTTCAGAGGCATCATCGACCTTGAAGATGACCTGCATTTGCTCGGCAGACTTGGTAGCTCTCCAAAGAATGGTACGTAGCAGTTATTCGTCTCCTGATGCGTTGCACGGTGACTTTAAGCCCACAGCCATCCGGTCCACGCATAAGCCAGCGTTGAAGAAAGTTTCAGGTGGCAATGGGCCTGCGTATCTTGTTACCAGATGAGGATGAAAGGAACGTGGTCAGGACTTTACACCTCTCCGCTGGAAATGATTCTGGCCCTTAGAGCACGTGCTTCAAAGTGTTCCTGTCGTGTCCTTCCCCACGGAAGGCCTCACCGAACACAGGTGCCAAGCGCGGACAAAAAGACATTCATGTTGTGCACATAGTTTGGCCTTGTGCCTTAGGAAGATTCAGCGTCCAACAGTCGGGCGTCGTTGTTTTTCCTTCTTACATGATATTCCTGGTGTTCTCGAACCTGGCGGGCCGTGATGGCGTATTCCTTCTCTCTTTAACGGTGGTGGAAGCTACAACGTGCTCCGGGTCTTTCGCAGGGTGTGAGGGCTTTGCGGCTCCAGAGTTTTACGTATTGGATATAGGATTTGGCAGCATGCTACGGATTTTTTGCTCGACAGTAGCTTAAGTCTGATTCAGGAATTAGCTAGTCGTTCACAATCCAATTTTGTTTCCCGGCTGGTAAACCCTCAACCTTAAGCCTTACATAAGCTCATACACAGGCCCTGTTCAGTACTCCTGACATTCAATTCGAGGCACCAAGACTGAATACAGTGGTAGGCTGGAGTATGCAATAATTTTAGCTTCTGTGCGTAAAGGGATGACACATTTGATAGCTGATGCTACTTTGTCGGTTTGGTCCTTTTGGCACAGTCGCACAGGCAGTTCCACCGAGTGGTTTCGATAATCACACGAAATATCACCTGAACATCTAGAGGGTGGAACGCCGTGGGGCCCCATATTTACAGTTTTTCGCACGTTTTACTACACGAGCTTGGTGTTCGATATCCCATACGAAGTGCTTGCTGCCCGAAATCTGCGACATCATATGGAAGTTCAGGCAAGGAGGAACCGTACTGTAGAGCCTACTGTGGAGCATAAGTAGTAGTTCAGTCGATGCCTGACCTAAATGTTAAAGGAACCCTTGACTGCAATCTTCGATCTTAAACGAGGCATGGCTGAATGCAGATAACATCGCACAACCTTGTGTGGAAAAAACAAGGGCCCCACAGCGTTCCTGTCAAAACAAACAAGGGCAGTCTGACCGTTCACCCCAGACCCAAAGCCAATGGCATCTGAGCATATCTAAATCCTAAGCCACAACACCCGGAGTCCTCAACCCTACGCCCTGAATGCTGAACCCTGAAGCTTCAACCTTATTTTAGACATGTCCTCAGGCGTCGATTCGCGAACAGAGTGGCTGCAGCAGGCTTGCCGAGTGTCTGTCAGCATGCACTTGTATCAGTAGGTATAGTTGTAGGTATACAAGTGTCAAACCATGATGTGTTATTACTTCCACCGCTGCTGATTTAAAAGCTTTGGCTGGCGATCTGCTATGCCTGCCCCGGCCAGTTCAGGCACTGGTAGCACGGGCATTAATATCACTCGGGCATGGTTGGGTGCACTTGCAGCATGTGTGTCATCCTCGTTCGGGCAACGGACCGGCTTACACACATGTCCCTTAAGCTTTACAGAACGACAACTTGGAACCAGAGACGGCCAAAAGGATACTGACAGCCAAATCAAATACCAAGCAGGCGCAGGCAAAAACCCGAAGAACACGCTCGTTCGAGGGTATCAGACGAACCACAGACCAAAACAACGGACATCGGACTCGAAGCACTAGAGTATTTCGCTGAAGAACAGGAACAAGAACGCGAAAGACAACAGCAACAACAGCACGCAGCAGCCGCCGCAACAGCACTAGCAACCACAACAACAGCAGCTACAGCAGCAACCACAAAAACTGCGGGCACAGCCACAAGACTACATCACAAAGGACAGGCACCGCCGACAAGCAACACATGCCAAACACAAAAAAATAAAACATGCATTGCAGAACAAGACAGAGAAGCATCCACGTTGAAAAGAGACACATAAAACAGGGGTCCGGACGGCTGCTGGGACAGCAGCCTGTCCATAAAAACTTTCATGTGCTAGTTAGACCACCATTGAGAAAACATGTCGAGCGCCATGATTATGATTATGACCGCGCAGAAAGGGCCCCCAAAACATATTCCAGCACAGGTGATGCTGAGTCAGCAGCCCGGAAGAAGTGGCTGCGGCAACAAACTTCCCTGGCGAGCAGCCTGGGAAAGAAACAGAGGCAACGATTCAGAGTTAAGGGGCCTATAGAGCTGTAGCTTCGTGGTGTAGCTAATTTCGAGAACTCTGGATGGCTTTACTATTTACACCTGAACGAATAGAAAGGTTTTCTTTAGGTTAAAGTTAATGTGTTTGTGTGGGATTCAGAATTATTGCTATCGTCCACGATTTCAGGATGGCAGCGTTCCGGTTCACACAAACCCCATGGCAAATTGAGGGATGTGGGTTCAATTGGCGCGGTTTCAATGACTGTTGCTTTAGTGTATGGGTTTAGGGCTTTGGCTTGCGGGACGCGTTTGGCGGATTTAGGAATTTAGGGCCCGCAAGCTTGCCTCGGGCCTCGGACCAGTGAAACAGAGTCGCCCGACCGCTTCGACACTTCTGCCATCGTGCGGTCCCTTCTGTTTGTGCTTGAAATTTCACGCTTCAGGGCTCAGCAATTCTGAGCGGTTTAGCGCCAAATAGGTTTCTTGAGTTGTCGTGCGTGCACAGCATTCCTGGTCCTATGTTAAGGCTAGGCTAGGAGGTCTTGGGTTAGGCCAGGCAGGTGTAGGGGCAGGCTGGGTATAGGCTTGCAGGTAGAGCAGGCTAAGTGAGGAATAGGCTAGGGGTAGGCTTGGTTCGGCCTAGCGCCGGGCTTGGGGTAGGCCTGGATTAGGCCGGGGCTAGGCTAGGGGTAAACTTAGGGTTAGGCCTAGGGGTAGGCTAGGGGTAGGCCTAGGGCTAAGCTAGGGGTAAGGCCTAGGATTGGCTAGGGGAAGGACTGGGGTTTACTATTACTAGTACTAGAAATAGTAGTGGTAGTAGTAGTAGTAGTAGTAGCAGCAGCAGCAGAAGCAGTAGTATCAGCAGTAGCAGTGGCAGTGGCAGTGGCAGTGGCAGTGACAGTGGCAGTGGCAGTGGCAGTGGCAGTGGCAGTGGCAGTACTAGTGGTAGTCGTCGTCGTAGTAGTCGTAGTAGTCGTAGTAGTCGTAGCAGGAGGAGGAGTATAGGAGTAGGAGTACGAGTAGGAGAAGGGGTAGGAGTAGGAGTAGGAGTAGGAGTCGGAGTTGGAGTCGGAGTCGTAGTAGTCGTCGTCGTCGTCGTAGTAGTAGTAGTAGTAGTAGTAGTTTGTAGTCGAAAGTCCTGCCAGCCACAAACTGAAGGGCCTCAGCCGTAAACATGGAGTGTTTCGTTTCTTCGTTTGCTATGTGTTGATCTTTGTTTCCGGTAGGATGACCGGAATGGTCTGAGAAGTTTATCTTTGTGTGTACTTCAGACCCCAGCATATCCCTGAAGCCTAAGTCGCGCTTTTCTGCATGTGGGGGAGCCGCCGCCTGATTCTGTGAGCTTTATAGCCCCAAACTCAATCGAGCCCCACGAAAAGAAGTGCCCACCAGGTGGGAAGATGCCCTCGCTTTGCTTCACCTGCGGGAGACGACCAGGCGCTCGCGGGGCCAGGGTATGAATTGCGGAGGGGAGGCTTCTGGGCCTTGCCGGTAGCAGCCGCTGGTTTGGTGACGGTTTTGACAAGGCTTGATCCTTTGTCAGGCCTGATATCCACTTCTTCGCCCAAAAACGTAGAAGCTTTAATGTCCGAGAGTCTTCAATCAGGCATGCGAACCCTGAAACTCTAAGGACTTTGGGGGCTGTCGAGGGTAAACGTTTTAGACTGAACCCCACGCGCGCTTTGATGTGTTTAGGTTTTCAGGCTAAGAGTAGAAAGGGTTCCGAGGCTTTGCAAAACACAGTACCTATCACCCTACGCTCGAAAATCGCGCTGCGACACAAACAGCCCTGCACGCTGAGCCCACGGCCCTGGATCAGAGGTGGAAGCCTGACATTAAAATGCTGACAGCCGTCATCGGAGCACTAGAGAAGCGCCTCGGGCTGAGTTTGGCTTCTAGTTCCAGTGGGCCTACTCTACATACATGAGCATACATGTAATGTGAATGTTCGCGGCGTGATAAAAACTGTCGTTGCCACTTACTTGTTTCTGCGCGTGGTCAAGAATGCTATGACCTGATATGTGGTAGAGGCAGCAGCTACTGATGTTTCGACGACAACGTTGGCGAATGCGCCGAAGACGACAACTAATTACCACTACCGCGTACCCTATCCGCTTCTGCTGCCGCTAACAAGACTTACTACTAAATCATACTAACTACTACTAACTACTAACCATTAAATATTTACTAACCACCAACTTCTGCAGACGACTTACTGACTATAAAACTACTAACACTAACTGTTAACTACTCCTACTACTACTACTACTACTACTACTACTACTGCTACTACTACCACTACTACCACTACTACTACTACTACTACTACTACTACTATTACTACTACCACTACTACCACTACTACCACTACTACCACTACTACCATTACCATCACTACTATCACTACTACTACTACTACCACCACGACTACTACTACTACTACTACTAGTACTACCACTACTACTAC